CCTTTAAGTACCATTTATATAAGAACCTATTTAGGCTAAATTGAAAAATTCGGGTTCTTACACGCGGGTTATTACTGTATTCATGCCACAGGAAACGTTGATCTGCATATAAGAAAGTTGGGTTTCCTTGACCTCATGTCACCTGAGTGACACGAAGTTTCGAGTTATTTTCACACAGTCAATTCACACAGCCTCAGATAAATCGACCCGATTTAAGTGTATGGGACAAACCTCCTTTCCATAAACTCACCTTACCGTCAGCTTTCACTATAATATAGGGAGAACTCCGTTTTAGAAACATCGAAAATGGTTAAGCGAGGTTGTCAGTAATTTTCAAGAATACGACGACAGAAGAAAAAATTCAACTCTTTCTTTTATTTGCTCCAAAAGACCCTTTTGGTGAGCTGTTTTCAAAAATAATATTTAAAAGTTCCAGCGAGTTTTTATTTTGGCAAAAAATACGAAAGTTCGAAATCGGCCAAAACGTACCTAATTTGCATAATTTCTATCAAGCTTTCAGTGCATTTTCACAACGCTCGTACAAGACAAAAAAAATTACCTTGAATTCATTTTTTCATGAGCTGTTTTTCATCCCTTGGAGTAGCTTTACAACTATCTTTATTTCCAACTGAACTTTCTTTCGTTTGTGACCACTCGCGTAAAGTACACCGTAGTTATTATTCCGTTTGTACGCTGAATTTTGCCTTGTTTCAGACGACCATAACATCGTAGCAAATAAAATATAAAAAGTTGACTTTTTGCTTCTGTCGCTGGATTCTTGAAAAGTACTCACAAACTCTCTCTTAAGAGCAATTTGTTAAGAAAATAATCTTCAAAACCTACCTTATTTCCAATAACTTTCGTGAAAGCCTCCTTAGGTTCTTTACAATCTTCCGCCGATGAAACTTAGACTCGTACAAGGCATTTGCATGGCAAAATTGGCATGGACTGTGTGCAGCTGTTTACTAAGGAAATAGTCGATCGCGAGTTGAATAATGATTAAGAGTCAAGACTTCCTGTCTCTAGCGTATCTTCCGATGGGTTAGGCAATAGCAATAGGCAATTAAAATTTGTCGAACCCATTCAATTAGGAGACAGATAGGGTACACTATGGTGATTTCCTGCAGTTTTCCATAGAAAGGAGCAATAAAGACACTCTTGATAATTTTTCATGATTCTGTTAACCGACTTTCGGAAACAGTTTAATTTCAGAGAAAAATGCTTTTCGTCTTGTCAAGAGCGTGACGTGACAAGACATGAGTCACGTATGACACACGGCCATTCATACTGCTTGGATCAGCGATGTCGATAGCGTCATGTTTATTAATAGAATAAGAAAGATAGTGAGCTTTGGGCTCGGTAAAGAAAGAGAGAAAGATGTCATACACGAATTTCGTAATGGGCCTCGCTCACTATAGAGTCTCTGTGGCTCTGTGGTAGGGCATCGGAGCGTGGAATCCAAAGGTCTGAGGTTCGATTCCTAATGGGGACTCAGACAATTTTTTGTTCTTCCAACGCTCGCGACAAGACGAAAAACATCTTTCTCCATTTCTTTACCGACTCAAAACCTACCATCTTTCTTATTCTATTTAATTTATGTTCTATCGTTGTACTTTTATTAAGAAAATAACCTTATCTCCAGTAACTTTCCTTTTACATGACACAATTGGTATTTTAGGAGTTGTGCGCAGCTGTTCAAAAAGGAGAAAGTCGATCGTGAGCTGAATAATAATCTCTTTTCATATGAAGCATTGTTATTATTTGTTTTTCAATAAACGATATGTGATAAGAAAAGCCGGGGCAATAAGTCTGAGTCACGCGAAGACTAAAGTTTGACAGTCGCCTGCGGCCAGGGACCAGAATGGTGTGGAGAATTCCTGTCTCTAACATACCCTCCGATCAGTTGGGCAATAGCGTGGTTTAATATGTGTCTAACTCATTCAACCAGTTGAAAGTTATGTTACACTGGGGTGATTTCCTATAGTTTTCCATAGAAAGGAGCAATAAAGACGCTCTTAAGATTCCGTCTACTGCTTTTAGGATTTAATCTAATTTCAGTTTTTCTGTTTTCATTACAGGTAAAATTTGCAAGTTAAGCAGGTTAAAATTAGAAATTTGTTTTTTTAGTATAAACAAGTTGTCTTGTCAATAGTTTTTGCGGTTTTAATTTAAGACACGGTAACTTCAGGCGTTTTCTGCAATAATGAACAAAAACATCCAAATGTCTTGGACCGCACACGTAAATTCTGGGATCCACTTCTCTAATGCACTTTAGAAGACTTAACAAACTTTGCAAAAATATTAAATAAATAAAGAAAAAGGGAGAAAAAAGAGACTGAGAAGAAACACAAAATAAGAACAGAAATAACAAAAAAAAAGTGATTTGAGGTGGCTGAGGACACCACGTTACTTAACTAAAGTGTCCGAGCCGATTTCTGCCGATGTACTTTCGGTGCCAGGCTCTGGCTCTCCCTTCTCCGTTTCACGTTCTACGTTCCCCGTTCTTTATTTTCCGTTCCCCGTTCCCTGTCCACCGTTTCCTGTCCACCGTTCCCTATCATTGTCGACTCATAATGCTTTCAGTGACATTTCACACGCAGCTAAGACTCACGACTAGCAAAGCGGTCTGCAAACTGGGAAGCAAAACGTGGCAAGTGGCGGAACACAACAATCGCTGCAAAGAGGGAAAAATTATTATCTTTTTGCGCCGCGGAGAAGTGCGGAGTTGAGAGACTCATCGCTACTAAGCGCTTGAATTAAAAAATAAATAAATAAATGGAAAATAAAAAAAAACCTCGTTAATCATCCAAACAACTTCAAAGCAAATCAAAACTACCACGGTTGGTTGATTTCTTTGACAAAATATTATGGTTTTCACCAATGACCCTAAATGCATTTCTCACTGTACAAGCTTGCATGCAGCTTAAACTTCAAAAAGAAACCTTTGTAATGCAGCGCTTTCACAGGATGTAAGGCAACGGCAGGGATCACGTTTCGCGTGATCTGCCGCAAGTTTTAGTTCGTGCAATTTATGGTCTTTGAAAAAAATTCAAGTGCTTATTACACCAAATGGCATGTGGAATCATATTATCACTTGATAATAATGTACATGAAAAAAGTCTGGGAATGATTGGACATAGTACAATTAGGCAGATGGCATGAGAGCTCAGCTTCGTGTTTTGTTCTCTAATAAGGACTGCTCTTTTAACCGATGACAGCGTGCGCTAGATCCGAACTTTGTTGTAATTAATCATAGCTTTAGACAGCAAATCGACTATTTACCTCAGCCATAATTTATCCCATACAAACTTCGCTGGCTTCTATCATTTTGTTACCGTTCACCGAAAAATCGACTAAAATATCGATATAGGCATGATTTCTCTCTGTATTCTCCTTTCCTAGTTCTCCACTCCCCGTCACCTATAAACTGTTTCCTGTTCCTTGTCTCCTGTTCTCTTTTGCCTGTTTCCTGTTCCTCGGTCCTTATTTCCTATTCCTTGTTCCTCGTTCAATGTTCCCTATTCCCTGTTCTTTGTTTCCTGTTCCCTGTTTCCCGTTCCCTGTCTCTCTGTTCTCTTAGTTAACGTAAATAAAGCGAGACAAACAGATAGGCAAACTTTGCCCTCTTCTAGTGGGTGTAGGACTTCATTGCTGGACTCTTCTTGTTTTATCCCATTCCTACGCTCGACAATCGCATTCCTTCGCGCGAGAAAATGGAGGCTGTTTCATATTTATTCATCGACTTTTATTTATGTCATTTTATTTCTAAAACAAATCTACCCATTTTGTGTTTTTTAAATTATCTTTAAATTATGCATTTATGCTGAAAGTATCAGTCTTAATCATAAAAACTACAAATTCCTTGATTGTGATTGTTTTCAAAAACTCACTTTATCTATTAATTTACTTGCCAAGTTGTTATCGGATAGTTTGTTATGGGACAGTTCAATAAGCCAATTACATCTAAAGTTGTAGTTTAAATCAACCAATCACATCCTCGGTTTCAGTCACCATAGAGACACAAACAACCTTTCCAGTCTAGATGCAAATTTTCCCTTTTTTCATAACTTGGTTAATCATCTTTCCTTGCAAGTTGTAATTTTTGTGATTAATTGGTAATGAGACTTCGGGGAGTCCAATTCGGTCTGTAATCATACTCATGATAACAAAGTATGGATCCAGACCGAATTGGACTTCACTTAGTCCTATTACCATTACTAATTAAGATAAATAAGTAAGTAACTTAGCTAATCACATCCTTTTTTTCTGATGTTGTGTATTCAAATTGATAAAAAGCGGTCATCTAGCTCATCTACAAATCCTTTAGCTGTTAACCCTTTGAACTCTAAGATTGACTTACATCTAATTTCTCCTTACAGTATCACCCCTGAATAAAACAAAAAGGTCACGAGAATAAAGGAAATGATCATCAACTTAAGAACCCTTGATTTTTTAACAAATTCTCCTTGTCAAACCCATTGGAAATAAATCGAGAACAGTATGGAGGAAATGCATGTTAACTTTATGATATTTACAAAATATGGTAACGTTGAATTGCACAATCTGATTGAAATTGCAATCCCAATGTCTAACGTGTTTATATTTACTTCTTTGACTAAAACGGAATCCAGTGAACCTATACAAAACGTGAAGCGAATCAAGGCAAAGCGATAGAAACGATCAAAGCGAAACAAAGTGGTAAAGAAGGGCGTTGACATAATCACGCACAAAAAAGCGTGAACTCAAATTAGACGAACGCAAACTAAACCTAAACTGACGCAGAACTAAATCTAAAGTAATGGAGATAATCACATGAAACGTACAAAGAACCACGTTTAATAATAAATGATCCTTAACGTAATCTGATTAATTCAAATTTTTTCCTTATTTCCTTTCCTTTTTTTATTTGATTTAGGGGTTGGAGAGTTTAAAGAACTTCCTATTAAAAACTACCTTCACAGAACCTTTGTGAAAGTTTATTTCTCCCTCACTAGTTAAATTCAAGTTTGTGAGTTAATCTCAGGGAGGGGAATGATCTCAACCTGTCTGTGTGTCTGGGGTCGTTGGCGACATAACATTTTTAGAGCTCGCCTAAAACCTGGCATTCTCATAGTATACAATATCGGATTTAAGAAAGAGTTTGCGTAAAGCAAGAAGATTGAAACAGAGTACAAACGGAAAAGCGCTATTTCAGACAAGGAACTTAAAATGTTAGTGGGAAAAAACCGAAAAAAAGTTATGATATAAGGCAGCCAAAATAGGAGAGAGAGAGATGTCACGGTGAACACCGTCAAGGTTAGTTTCCTTTCCCTATTTGCCGCTCCGTGGTGTCGAGGCTGATTTACCGGGCGAAACTTGACAACAATAAAGACGTAAGAAACACAAATGACCAAAAGACAAATTGACATTAATGAACTCCAAGTGTATAAATAATAGTCCCATTCACGTCTATAGTAAATCATCATTTCTAACGCACATGAAAAGAGTAATGCTGTCAACCAGATGGCGATTATAAGAACCCAGTAGACTGACTTTTTGATCATACGATGTCTGAAAGGCCAAAACGTTGCATTCAAGCGTTCTATAGGAATAACAGTCATATTTGTTAAAGAACAAACGAGAAACCAGATGATTAAGACCACTGGTATCTTATGCCAATGTTTTGAATTGTACCTCCAGAAGTTGCACATCACCCCAACATTATAGAAAAGGTAGACTGGAGAAATTCCCCCGGATAACATGTCTGCAACTGCTAAGCTTATCACCAAGTACGTTGACCTTTTACGAAGATTACGGTCTCTACAAAATGCAATCACTGTCAAAGAATTCAAAGCTATTTTGGTGACAGATTCAGTCAGGCCCACAACCATCCATGTTATACACTCCGGTGAAGAGGCCATCCGAGAAGTCTTGAGAAATATTAAGGTATTTCCGACAATGATTTGACAACAGATTGCTGCGAAAGAGACTAGACTGAAGTAACCTCTACACTTTATTTTGGTACTCCTTGAGGCAACAAAGTTTACCCATGGTCCTACATCCCTCCTTCGGTACATTTCATAAATGTTAGCTACGTCCTTTTAAAATACCCCTCTCAGATATGAAGACGACCTTTGTTTCCTTACAGGTCGTGCAGGGCAACTAGTTCCTGTAGCTGCTAAGGAAAGCCATCAAACTCCTTTAGACTGTTTCAAAGAGATTTTGAACACTTTTTACGAGTCACGAATCAGTGAGTATTGAGCTAGTAACTTTCCGTTCGCAAAGGCTCATTATTGCAAGAGAAAACTAATATTCTGACTCCAAAGTTCGCCTATTCCTCACTCAAACTGAAATAATTATTCTTCAGTAAAAAATGTAGTTGATAGGTCTTAATTCTTTTTTATATTATTTTATTTCGTTTTTCAATTCCCGCTCGGAAAACACCTTTCCATGCTTTTGTTTATTTCGTCGTGTCGCACGGAATTGACCGCTTATTACAGAAATAGAACTTTTTCGAATTCACAGGTAACTTTACACTCTTTCTCAGAGAGATGCCAGACATGCCATATAGCCTGTTACCCTTCGACGACGCACTGCAATATATTTCAGACAAACAAGATATGCGTGAACCAATCAGATATGTCTTAGATCATTTAGATAAATGACAGCTCATTTGGTACGGTTCCCAAAGCTTTTCTCATCTTTAGCCTTATCGCCGACGCAATTTACGACTTTTTTCTTGGATGGTGGATCCTATGTTTTTCGTTCGTTAATAAAGTCGACTTCACTTGTCGGTAAAGATCTATGGTCGCTTGTAGATTCAGAATTTTTCTTCTCTTGTTCAACTCGACGTCTCACGAGAGAGCGCAGCGAGCTAAGCGCGAACTCGTGAGACATCGAGCTGAAAATTATGGGCTTCCTCCAAGTCTCGGTCGTCGTTATTTTCATATTTGAACGTTCTAAGTACTGGTGCGTTTCTTTTAGTTGTGCGTTTTGTTTCTTTTTTGTTCTCCTTTCTAAATTTTTTTGGGCAAGATGTATTTAAACTAGTCTTCTGTCATTTTCCCGTCTCTTTTTCAGCAATTGAGAGGTAATCAAAAAACTAAAATAGAAAGAAAAATTAGGCTGTACATCCTTGCTTTCCAGCAGATGCGTATCTCCGAAGGCGATTGGGGGCGTCGTGAAATGTTTTCTTAAAATTTCTTTCAAAGGTTAATAACAAGAAAAGCATTCAAAACGTACTTTTTACAGAACGATTATCATTTATCGCCTTAAGTCGAGCAAGTTTTGAGAACTGATATTCTTTATCTGAAACTCTTTTCAATCCAAAATATCTGCTGCACTTACCAATTTACTTTGCTTGTTTAGTAGTTTTTCTTTTTTTATTTCTGATGTATTCCTGCCACGGAAGACGTTTTTTTTTAATTTTTTTTTTTTTATTCTTTCAAATGTTAAAAGTCTTGAATTGAACAAAAAAAAAGATAAGGTGGAAAAAGAATAAGGAATCCATGAATACTCTCCGACTGAGCCTTGTTATTACCGAAGTTTCGTAATACATTTTCATCGGAGCACGTCGGAGTATAAAAAAAAAAAAAAAAGATGTATTATAAAAAAAATAGATATGCTAATGACAAGTACAGCATATCAAACGGATTTGACACAAAACGGCTATCATTTTTTGCCTTCAGTCGCTGAAACAAGCGTCGAATATCTGAACCTATTTCTCTTTGACACACATTTTACTTCGATCGCCCAACGATATCAGCTGAAGCTGCCGATTCAGTCCGCTTTTTCAAGTAGTTTTCCTTCTTATTTTTTATATACTCATGCCAGAAGACTTTGATCTGCGTATAAAAAAAAATGGATTTCTTTCAATCTTGAGTGAGGTTTTTCAGTTATTTTCCTAATTCACACAGCCTCAGATGAATCGACCCAATTCAGGTGTGTTGAACAACCCTCCCTTATCATGCAGAAACTCACCTTACCGTCACTTCCCCTTAGAATTTAGCGTGAACTGCGTTTAAATTTAGAAACATTGAAATAATTTAAGAGCAATTTGCTAAGAAAATAATCGTCTTCGAAATTCTGGAATCCACTTCTCTCATTTACTTTAGGAGACATAACAAACTTTGCAATTACTTAAGAAACACAAAATAGGAAAAGAACAAACAAAGGACTGAAGGTGATCGAGGACACCACGTGACCTGACTAAAGTGACCGAACCGAATCTTTCCAAAGAGCCAATTTGTGCCGATGGACTTTGTTATGAAAATAATATTCAAAGCCTACCTTATCTCAATTAACTTTCTTAAAAGCGTCCTCAGTTTCTTTATAATCTTCCGGCGATAAAACTCAGAATCGAACATGGCGTTTGCATGGCAAAATTGGCATTTTGTAAGCTGTGTGCAACTGTTCAATAAGGAAAAAGTCGATCGATATCTGAATAAATATAAGTTATTTGCTGGCTGGGAGGTCCGTATGGTGAAAAGCTGTGATCGAGGTCTTGAAAATGCTGCCCGAGGCCGTAGGTCGAAGGCAGCATTTTCAAGGCCGAGGTCACAGCTTTTCACCATACGGACCGACCCTTAGCCAGTAAATGACATATTTTATTTATTTATTTTCTTTTAAACTTAACGAAATCCATTCCGAAAGAACACGAATGATTTTGGGCTGTAAATACAGCAAGATCTTCCTTAATGAGTAAATGGTAGTTAAAATAGAGGTGACGCAAATTAGAGAGAACATTTTCATTTGCGTAATAATATAGGTAATTTAAAAGGCTTTCAAGTTAAACTTTGAAACATTATCAGACAAGTATCTGTCACAATCTGACACCTGTCAATTAGACAGCGCGTAAGAAAAGAAAAAAGCGCAAGTACATTTTTGAAAAAACAACGAAACTAGTTTGGCAAGGACTGTCACCACAATGTTTTCTTCAAAAACAGTCAATGACCTTACGGAAAGTGTTATTCACTCTTATCGACGATTAATTCAAGTACGAAGATTTACCTCTGTTCATTAAGTAATCGGCGAGGAAAGTAATTGTAAGTAAATTCGAATCAAGTTGTGAGAGTTTGCTCGTTTGTTTGCTGCAAATGGCGTGTGAAAATCTGGTCTTTCCTCGAAAAAAACTAAATTCGGATGATACACTCCAACGGGACACAAGGGGATTTAAAGCAGCCTTTTCTCGTTGAATTCCTTAAGTTTCTGTTATACAATTTACGGTACAAATGTCCAAATTGAACGGACTTGAAAAAACTTACCGAGAGCGTATATTTGTTGCAGAACTGAAATTAAAACTTCGCTCGCCTTTTCACCACGAACAAATTGTTTGAGAAAATTCAGATATTGAATGAATGAAGGTTCCATCTACTAGTTCAACTGTAGCCAAATATCTCACGTTTTAACTCTCTAGGTACTTTTTGTGAACGATCAAAATTAATTGCAGACGGTTTTTAGGCCGCCTGTCAACCAACGTAATGACACTATTGCTTATACAAAAAAGTCATCATTCTGAAACGAACATTTTTCAGTCAAGCAAAGTGACTTGAGAGAGAGAAAAGAGAGGATTCATAAGTTATTTATCAGCTTGAGGTAGTGACCGACGTCTTTGCTCAAAAATACTGCCCTGCTGGTAAAGCGAAATATATTTATGAAAATACCAACGAATGAAGGGATGTACTCGGCGACTCACGAAAAAGTTACCGTTGCCCGTGGGCAGAGATAGGAAAATACTGACCGGGTAAAGAACCAATCAGATTGAAGGATTCGTTACTGTGCCATCTGAAAAAAAAAAAAAAAAAAAAAAAAAAATCTTTCTTCACAAGTATGAAACCGACGGGTTTTTATTCTTTGTTTTTTACTAAATAGTATATGGGGTGGCCCACAATTGTCACGGCAAAAGAAAAAAACATCACGGCAAAAGGAATAACGTCAAGGAAAAACGCAAGAGTGTATCCCATTTTTTTTTGTGCAGTTGAAATGATAAATAAATATGATTTTTATTGGTAAATAGTTTGATATTTAACTATTCATATTATAACTCGAAGCCCAAACTAGTAGTTGTTTTAATTCACATTATATCGAAGTTCGGATATCACGCGCGGTGTCATTAGGTGTAAGAGCGTGCTCTATGAGAGTTTATATAATAAGCTCAGTTATGCACGCATTCTGATTGGTTCTCACTTATGATCTATTGGAGGATAGACGTATAGATGACGTCATCATTAAAACTTTTTTCCGTATATTTTAATTCTTTATTACATAAAACAAATAGATTTCAAGTTGCCGTGCGTCTGTTCAGTAGTAGATAACAGAGGACGTCAAAATGTGGTAAGAACAAAAAAGTGACATGTTACATAACCCTCCAGCATCATAGAAGAGCTCCAGTGCAGAATTTCCCCCGCATAACATGTCTGCAACCGCCAAGCTTATCACCAAGTACGTGGTTCGTTTACAAAGATAACGGTCTCTACAAAATGCGATCACTGTCAAAGAATTGCATGTTCTTATGGTGACAGATTCAGTCAGGCCCACAACCATCAAACTCCATTAGACTGTTTCAAAGAGATTTTGAACGCTTTTTATCTTGTCACGAATCAGTGAATATTGAGCTCGTAACTTTCCGTTCGGGCAGGGTCATTATTGCAAAAGAAAACTAACATTCTGACCCCTAAAATTCGTATCCCCACGCGGCCATGAAATATCCTCTATCTGTTTCATTTTTCAATTTCTGCTCGGAAAACGTCTTTCCATGCTCTTGGATATTTTGTCGTGTCGCATGGAATCGACCGCTTATTACAGAAATATATCTTTTTCGAATTCACAGGCTACTTTACACTCTTTCTCAGAAAGATGCGAGACATGCCACATAGCCTTTAACCCTTCAACAACGCACTGCAATACATTTCATACAAACATGACATGCATGAACCAATCAGATATGTCTTAGATCATTTAGATGAATGACAGCTCATTTGGTATAGTTCAAAGGTTCTCAGAGAGAGAATTATGTGAATTGAAATTTACGCCCATTACTTGTTTTTGTAATGATTCATCGCTTTCTCTCATCTGTAGCCTTATCGACGATGCAATTTACGACTTTTTTCTTAGATGGTGGATCCTATTTTTTTTCAGTCGTTAATAAAGTCGACTTTACTTGCCGGTAAAGACCTATTGTGTTTAGATGATAAACAAAATAATAATGGTCGCTGGTAGATTCAGAATTTCTCTTCTCCTGTTCAACTCGACGTCTCACAAATAAGCACAGCGAGCTCAGCGCGAACTCCTGAGACATCGAGCCGAACAGTCGAAGAGAAATCTTGTGTCTGTGCCCGCTATGTATTATTCACTATTTCTCTTGAATACACAAGTGAAGACTGACAATTTATTCAGATGGGATGTATAATTGTTAACTAGCGTTGGAAATAAAACACCAACACTTCAAAGATGTTCCTTTGTCTTTTTCTATTTCGCTTGTTTTGTTATCATTACTGTAGCTATTTTGTAATCATGACTAGTTCCTAGTGATCGATATCATCATAATCATGAATATTATTCTTGTAATCACGTTTCTATCATAGTTCAGAATTGGTCCGCAGAAAAGTTCGAATAATTTGTCTTTCCACTTCACCAGGATCTTCACGCCAGATATCAGCGCCTCTTTTTCATTTACTGATTAGTTTTCTCGAGGTACTCTTACGCATTTTTTGTGCTCTCCAAACTTTCTGCGTGCATCCATAACTCGATATACGCACGCCAAGCATGAACAAATTCTTAAGCACAGCATATCAAACGGATTTGACACAAAACGGTTCTCATTAATTGCCTTCAGTCGTGGTATCATACAAACAGGTTTGGAATATCTGAACCTATTTCTCTTTGTCACACATTTTACTTCGATCGCCTGAAGATATCAGCTGTAGCTGCCAATTCAATCCGCTTATTTAAGTAGTTTTCCTTTTTATTTGTGATATATTCATGCCACAGAAGGCTTTGATCAAATTGATTTTTATAAAAGAGTATTGCTGTGAACCAAATGGCGATTATAAGAACCCAGTAGACTGACTTTTTGATCGTACGATGCCTGAAGGGCCAAAACGTTGCATTCAGGCGTTCTAGAGAAATAACAGTCATATTTGTTGACGAACCAATAGGAACCAGAGGAGTAAGACCTGTGGTATCTGATAACAAGACACAGTTTTGAGCCTCCAGAAGTTACATATCGCTCCAACATTATAGAAGAGGTCGAGTGGAGAAGTTCCCCCGGATAACATGTCTGCAACTGCCAAGTTTATCACCAAGTATGTGGATCGTTTACAAAGATTACGATCTCTACAAAATGCAATCACTGTCAAAGAATTCAGTGTTATTATGACGACAGATTCAGTCAGGCCTACAACCATCCAGGTTATACACTCCGGTGAAGAAGCCATCTAAGAAGCCTTTTTCTGTTCCAAATAATTGAGAAATATTAGGGTATTTCCGGCAATGATTTGAGAAAAAGATTACTAACCTGTCTTTTATACTGCGAAAGATACTTGTCTGACGTAACCTCTACACTTTATTTTGGTATCCCTTGAGGCAACAAAGTTTTAGCCATTGTCTTACATCCCTCCTTCGGTACGTTTTCGTAAATGTTAGCTACGTCCTTTGAAAAAACCTCTCTCCGATCTTTAGCCTTAGCACCGACGCAATTTACAACTTTCTTCTTGGATGGTGGATCCAATATATATATTTTTTTTCATTCGTTAATAAAGATCGACGTTTCGGTGTCATCATGACGCCATTGTCAAGGAGAAATAAAAAATGAAGTTTGTGGCAAAGTGTAACATTAAATTAGCATAAATATGTTACGAGCTAATTAAACAAATACTTTTGCGCGAATTGAATCGCTTTGCACGTTCAGAGTGGGTTTTAAGTCTCTGATGAAAAGCATTTAGTTCAACAAACAATCGAACTTGTTACTAAACTTTTTCAGAATGCTAAAACGTTTCAGTAGGTCTTTCGGGACTTCGCTGTGCTGTTCGTGGTAGTGTTTATATATTGAAGATGCCTTTCGTTTAAGACTGTACTTTAAGATCTTGGCTTACTTTGCGGCTAACAAATACTGGCTGGAAATAAATAAACAAAATAATACATGGTGGCTCTTAGATTCGGAATTTATCTTTTCGTGTTCAACTCGACGTCTCACGAGTGAGCGCAGCGGGCTCAGCGGGGACTCGTGAGACATCGAGCTGAACACGAGAAGAGAAATCCTATGTCTGTGCCCGCCATGCATTATTTACCACTTGTCTTGAATACACAAGTGAAGACTGACAATTTATTCATGATCAGATGAGATGCATAATTGATAACTAGCGTTGGAAATAAAACGCCAACACTTCAAATATGTTCTTTTGTCTTTTTGTTTCTATTTCACTTGATTTTTTATCATTATTATAGTTATTATTATAATCATGATTAGTTTCAAAACGATCGATATCATTATTATGATTACTATTCTTGCGATCATGTTTATTATCATTTCTATCATAGTTTAGAGTTGGTCCGCAGAAAAGTTCGCATAATTTGTCTTTCCACTTCACCTGGATCTGATACCAGATATCAGCGCCACTTTCTTTTGCATTTTTCATTTACTAATTAGTTTCTTAGCCAGATGGAGATGATGTTGATTTCCGTAACTCATAACTCTGAAACTGGCAATGGATTATGGGCTTCCTCCAAGTCTCCGTCGTCGTTATTTTCATATTTGAACGTTTTCAGCACTAGTGCATTTCTTTTACTTGTGCGTTTAATTTTGTTTTTGTTTTGTTCTCCTTTCTAATTTTTTTTTGGAATGATGTATTTAAAGTAGTCTTCTTTCATTTTCCCCTTTCTCTTTTACCAATTGAGAGTAAATGATAAAATTGAAATAGAAAGAAAAAAAAAATGCCCATATCTATAAGTGAACGTAGGCTTAAAAAAAATGTTTTTTTTCATTTTTTACAAATGGTAAGAGCATATCAAACGAATTTTTTTACAAAACGGTTATCATTTATCGCCTTAAAGTCAAGCAAGTTTCGAAAACTAATATTCTATATCTGAAACTCTTTTCCATCCAAGATGTCTGCTGCACTCGCCAATTTACTCCGCTTGTTTAATAATAATAAATCATTTCTGGTATATTCCTGCCACTAAAGACGTTTTATTATTCTTTCAAATGATAAAAGTCTTGAATTAGATTTAAAAAAATAAGGAGGGAAAATATTAAGAAGTCCATGAATGCTCTCCGCCTAAGTCTTGTTATTACCGAATTTTCGTGACACATTCTCATCAGAACGCGTCGGAGTATAAAAAATATGTATTCTAAAAGAAATCTACATAGGCTAATAACAAGTTCAGCGTGTCGAACGAATTTAACACAAAACGGTTATCAGTTGTTGCCTTCAGTCATGGTATCATACAAACATGTGTCGAATATCTGAACCTATTTCTCTTTGACACACATTTTACTTCAATCGCCCGAAGATATCAGCTGTAGCTACCAATTCACCGCGCTTTTTCAAGTAGTTTCTTTTTTTAATTTTATTTTGATATATTTGTTCCACAGAAGGTTTTGATCGACCCAATCGAAGGTGTAATGGACAACCCTCCCCTATCAGAAACTCACCTTACCGTCACTTCCTCCTAAAATTTAGGGTGAAATCCCTTTAATTTAGAAACATTGAAACAATTTAAGAGGAATTTGTTGAAAAAATAAAATTCAAAGCCTACCTTATCTCCAGTAGCTTTCTTAAAAGCGTCCTCAGGTTCTTTATAATCTTCCGCCAATGAAACTCAGAATCGAGCCAGGCGTCTGCATGGCAAAATTGGCACTTTATGAGCTGTGCGCAGCTGTTTAATTAGAGAAAGTCGATCGCGAGTTGAATAATAATTAAGAATTAAGAATTCTTGTCTCTAACATACCCTTCGATCGATTAGGCAATAGCGTCGTTCAAAATTTGTCGAACCCATTCAGTTCGGTGACAAATAGGTTACAATTTAGTGATTTCCTATGGTTTTCCATAGAAAGGAGCAATAAAGATGCTCTGAAGAATTTTGCATGATTCTGTCAACTTCTTTTAGAAAACAGAGAAAGATGGTTTTCGTCTTGTCGCGAGCGTTGGACACACACACAAAAAAATTCTGAATCCACGTCTACCGTCTCAAAACTTACTGTCTAATTCTATTTAATCTAATTTTTGTTTTTCTGTTTTCATTCCGATAAAAGTTGCATTAAACAATTTAAAATTATAAATGTGTTTTCAGTATAGTCTAGTTGTCCTTTCGATGTTTTCTTGGTGCTAATTGAAGACGCGGTAGCTTCAAGCGTTTTCGCAATAAATTAGCAATAACATTCAATTGTCTTACACTGCACACGAAATTCTTGAATTCACTTCTCTGACGTACTTTATGAGACATGAAAAAAACTCTGCAAATACTTAAGAAACACAAAATAGAAACAAGATCAAACAAACGACTGAGGGTGGTAGAGGACACCACGTGACTTGGCTGAAGTGACCAAACCTCCCACCTTTCCGAAGAGCCCTTTTGTGCCGATGTACTCTGTTAAGAAAATTGTATTCAAAGGCTACCGTATCTCAACTAACTTTCTTAAAAGCGTCCTCAGTTTCTATATAATCTTTCTACGATAAAACTCAGAATCGAACATGGCTTTTGCATGGCAAAATTGGCATTTTGGAAGCTATGCGCAACTGTTCAATAAGGAAAAAGTCGATCGATATCTGAATAATAATCTTTGTTCATACGTAATATATAGATTTAGCCGAGCATAAAAGCAGAGCTCTGGTTACTTTATTTTCTAGCCCCTCATTACAATAAAAACTGTAATAAAACTCTTCAGCTTTGGCTGTAGAAGAGTTTCTTCAAGGGGATTAAGAGACCAGTCCGGGAGGAGGGGAGGGAAGGGAAGAATTGGCGAGGTCTGGAACCTGGGGACGACGTCTCACAACTTGAGATGAAACGCATGCTAGTCAGCGGTATCTTCAAGCAGCTGAGGATCTTCGTTGTAGTTCCTGATGTTTTGAGCGAATTTTCGAAGATAGAGAATCTTTTCTTCTTCAGGGGAAGTGTGCGATGTCAGTTCAATCCCTACACATGATGAAATGTCAGGAGATCAGTGGAAAAATGTACCAAGCATCTGCAAGATTTGATGTGATTGTTTTAATTACATGAATATTAACTGATACTAGGAGATCTAAGACTATTCAAAAGAATAAAACTTTGTTTGAAAAATTAGAACTCAGCATAGGCCAAATAAACAAGGTTCTTAGAAAAACAAATCTCTACTAATGAAAAAAGCTAAGCAACCTTTTTACTGGTTTTATATGTTGAAAACACACACACACATACAGATTTCTTATAAACCTGTAGTTCAAGCCCGCCATGACTATGCACACCTCAAAAGGAAAAGAAGTAAATTTCAAGTTTCTATTTATTCAGGTTAAAGTAGGTTTGTCAGGTCAAATTAAGTCAGTCAAAGAAATTTTCACAAGTAATTTATTAGGTTAGCCTATCTAGAACAATCAACTTTAGGTACAAATAAGATTAGGTATATACCGATGATGCACAAAAGAACTATCTGTGGTAAGAAAGCAGGCTTTCCTTTCTTCATTAAAAAAAAAAAAAAGAGGTTATCATCTCTCTACAAGCTCAGCAGAAAGTGAGAGTGAGAGGGACTGATAGTGACTATGTTATTTGAGTAAATATCCAGAGAAGGATAAAAGGCAAGATATGGTCTGCACAACTTTCTTATTTCAATTTTATAACCTATTAAGCTAAGTCATTTATATTCTTGCTTTGTGAATTATGCAAATGCCAATTAATTTAACTTTCAAGCAGGGTAAAATAAAAACATGAATTAAAATAGCAGAGCCAACTTTAATTTCAGTCCTAATTAAAGGGCAATCTTTGCTTTCCAGTTTTCCACCCTTTAAAATTCACATATCTTGAGACCAATCCATTATATCAATGTTTAGTTTGGGTATGAGTATTGGTAAGAAAGACCACACATTAATGAAAGCTTGAGCAAGAGTATTTAATGCAATTTAAAAAATAATATCACATGTTACAATGCAGCAACTTACACAGCAAAATGATATAATCACACAATTCCAGACAAAGAAAGCAAAGTAATTGACTAAACTGCTTCAACTTTTGAGAACTTGTGGTAGAAAAAATAAATATGGTAAATAATTACAATTAATACAAAGTTGAAAGTTTAAAAGCTAAGAGATATACATTGCAATCATCAAATCCTATGCATTTTAGCCAAAAAATGGGTCAGTTACCACTATAACTTCTCCCAAACATTCATACTTACAGGAAATCATTAATTTTTGTCACTAGGTGGTACTGTACTTACAATAGTTCTACTGACACAAATGCATTTTTC